TAAAATTTGTGTACGCTATTATATTATATTGCATCAAATATATGGTAACCTTTGGCCTACCCTAACCTAATGGAATAACATTTTTTTTTAATAAAATGTTCCATTACCCCCCAGTTTGTCATGACTTCTGAATATTTAGCATTGTATAATAAGTTTAACAATTAACATATCTATTTGCACAAGACTTGTGGTTGTATACTTACCAATAGAAAAACCTTTCGATTTTTGTAGCTGAATATCATTACTTTATTATCACTTGCTGAGCTAGTTACACCTAAAACATTCGCGCATAATACTAGTCTAAAAACTTAAAGACATACATATATGAGAACACCAACAACCAGCTAGGGAATTCGTGACTAGAACCTTGGAAGCAACATATTTGACTGAGAAGTCTGCAATTTGAGCTTCTACATCAATCCTTTTTTGTCATTTCTCCTCTTCATCATACCCTTTTAGCTGTGTGAATGTGACATTGGTCGAAAATTTTGGTTAACAGCGAGATGCTGCTACGGCTCCAACTATGGGTGATAGAGTACCTTATGTCATTATTAAGGGTGCTAAAGGAGCTAAGGTAATTGATCCAAGTAATTTAGTACTAGAGCTCATTTAAGTGTTCAACATTTCTGTGGCATTAGTTTTAATCATGCTTAATTTGTGACATACAGGCTTATGAAAAGTCAGAGGATCCTATATTTGTCTTGGAAAACAACATCCCAATAGATCCACATTACTATCTTGAGAATCAGATTAGCAAGGTAAGTTGGCCACATAAGTAATTTTACTCTACTCAAAATTTAAGCTTAGCTGATGATTTTGAACTTGGTGCAGCCACTTTTAAGGATTTTTGAGCCCATCTTGAAGAATGCCAGTAAAGAGCTGCTGCAAGGAAGCCATACCAGATCGATCTCCATTTCTACTCCTTCCAATAGTGGCATAATGAAATTTGCCAAAAAACAATTAACTTGCCTTGGCTGCAAAGCACTAATTAGGTATGTTTCAACAATGACAAGGATCATTAGTTTATTACACAATGTCCTTCAACCTCCCTGGATGGTGTGGATCATTAGATTTCTTTGCTTCTGGCAGTTTAACTTTCATGATCATATAATCTATTTCTGATTGTATAAGGACATGTTCACTTGGACTTATTTGATTATTTCAGCTCCAAGCTACACTTAAAGAGACCAGACCAAGCTTAAATAGAACAAGTCACAAGATGTTTAAACAGACCACATCAGACCATACTTGAATAATTTTAAAATACACACAATACCAACCCGTACTTAGACAGAAACAGATAAATAAATTTTTGTCTAAATGAACAGATTTTTTTTTTCATTGTAGAAAGTAGAAGTGTTAGTTGACTACTTAATTGTTGTGCATTTAACCAGTGAATCTGATCGGACTCTCTGCAAACACTGCAAGGGAAGGGAAGCTGAACTTTATTGCAAATCAGTCGCCAACGGTATGGATGGCCTACTATTTGTGCACGACAAAACCTATTTTGTACAGTGAAATATGCTGGAAATCTGTTTAGGTTATTTAACAGTTTATTAACTGAACCAACTGTAGTGGCTGATCTGGAGAAGCTTTTTGGGCGGTTGTGGACACAGTGTCAAGAGTGTCAAGGCTCCCTTCATCAGGATGTGTTGTGCACTAGGTTGATATTCTTCAAAGTCATACTTATTACTTATTTATTTCCCTATATAGAGGAAAGTTCATGTCAGGCCGGCCTGACGGGCTGCTCCGTCCGTCCGAGCCCGTTTGGGCACCTTCCCGGTGGAATTTTTTGATGAAAATTTTTGAGCATGTTCCTCATCAAGTCTAGTTTGTCCATACCAAATTTCAGCTCAAAATTCGATCGGGAAGGCATTCAAATTATTTTTTGAAGTTGACTGCAGTTTTATATGTATATTTTGATGCAGTTAACTTCAAAAAATGATTTGAATGCCTTCCCGATCGAATTTTGAGCTGAAATTTGGTATGGACAAACTAGACTTGATTAGGAACATGCTTAAAAAATTTCATCAAAAAATTCCACCGGGAAGGTGCCCAAACGGGCTCGGCCGGATGGAGGTTCCCGTCAGGCCGGCCTGACGAGAAGAGTACTCTCCCTACCTGTGCTCCATTCATGGCATTATATCCAAGTATTATCTGCAAGATCATAATATTTTTCACTGTAAACAGCACAACACATTATTTTCTCATTTTTCACTGACTCTAAATGGTTAATTTTGTCATTGCAGTCGAGATTGCCCAATCTTTTATCGGAGAAAGAAGGCTCAAAAAGACATGGCGGAAGCCAAGACCCAACTAGATCGGTGGAACTTCTGATATGAGACATGACTACATGAGGTTTGTCTTCAGTATGTGGCATAAAATGTACAGGTACTGTCGCAAGTATTTCAGTGGAAGACAAACACAAACTTAAAAGTTGTGACGTAGAAGGTTTTGCAAACCTCAGGTTGTTAGACCATTTGGAGTGGTGCAAGAGTCCAAATGTCAAAAATGGACTCCGTCGATATGAAAACAGTGTTTTGACTCCTATTCTCTGCATTCCAGCACCGTCAATAAAATACACTTTGCACATTTTTTTACATATCAATTTAGTAAAACATTAATTAAATTATTATAAGTAATGTTTTCCTTTTAATTTTTTCTCTGATTAATCATAAAATAAAAAAGACACATTTCGATGTAAAAAAAATAAATTTCATTATTTTTTTTTTACGTTTTTTCCTGAGTGATTTTCAACACATTAGAGCATTGGATTCTCTTCTCAACTTTGTGTCTATCCATAACACTTGGATTCCCTTCTCAACTTGTTGTATCTTTTCAAATCACATTGGATTCTTTTTTCCATTATTTGTGTCCTTTCATAGCACATTATATGACATTGGATTCTCTTTTTCACCATGTGTAATCTTCCATACCACATTGGATGCTATTCTCCACTTGGTCCAAACATATTAATTTGGATGTATCCTCCACTTGGTGTGAACATCAAAGAACTATATTACTATAAATACATGGCCTCACTTGACATTGGAATCACACACCTCATCTTTACTTCTCCCATTTTCAACAAGGCCAAAAACATCATGAGTTCTTTTCCCGCATTTTACAAATCCATTAATGAAGATGAAGATGAAGAAGCTTATTCCGACCGCATGCGCATGGCTTTGATGGCTTCTTTGGTTGCAACAAGCTCCAATAGTAGTCGTGATTACATAGACCGTGGTCGGGAAGCTGGACACCGTTTGTTGATGGATGATTACTGGAATCCAAATCCCACCTACAATGCACGTATCTTCCGTCGTCGTTATCGCATGCAACCGGCTCTATTTGATCGAATCATGAAAGATGTCATGGCTTTCGATCCCTATTTTGTAAGTACAATAGATGCAGCAAACAAGGTATCTCTTTCTCCTAATCAAAAACTCACTAGTGCGATATTTATGCTCGCCAATGGTTGCTCGGCTGATTCATTAGATCAGTTATGTCGTTTGAGTGAGACAACTACACTTTTGTGCATGAAAAAATTTTGTAGGGCAGTTATTAGTGTGTATGGTTCTTGGTACCTACGAACCCCTAACCCCGGAGATCTGCATCGTCTTCTTGAAAAGGCCTCGAAAAGAGGCTTTCCCGGGATGATTGGGTCCATTGATTGCATGCACTGGGAGTGGAAAAACTGTCCTACATCTTGGGCCGGCCAGTACACCGGGTACAAAAGAAAACCAACAATTGTTCTCGAAGCAGTTGCTTCTTATGATACTCATATGTGGCATGCATTTTTTGGCACAGCCGGTTCCAACAATGACCTCAACACTCTTGCAAGCTCTCCAGTCTTTGATGCTGTTGTAAATGGATCTGCCCCTCAAGTACAATTCCGCGTGGATGGTAAGCTATATAATCAATGTTATTATTTAGCTGATGGGATTTACCCAAGTTGGGGAACTTTTGTTAAGACAATAAGTCATCCAGACACTCCTAAGAAAAAGCTTTTTGCTTCAATGCAAGAGGCTTTTCGTAAGGATGTTGAAAGAGCATTTGGAATTTTACAAGCTAGGTGGGCTATTGTGCGAGGTCCTGCACGGTTGCACGACATACGCACATTAGGTGATATAATGCTGGCATGCATTATACTGCACAACATGATAGTGGAAGATGAATATGAAGAGAATGATGAAGAACCAACCCAACAAGACTACCGTGAAGACTATGACTATATTGGTGGTATTGTTGAATTGGATCTTAACCATGATGGTCCGACCTTGAGTCAATATATGATGCGCCACAATCGAATTAGAGACTCCTCGGTGCACACATCGCTTAAAAGTGATCTCATAAATCATCTGTGGATGCACCATGGAAATGGAATGTAGTTTATTTGCTTCCCCTAAATATTTATGTGTTTTCTTAATCTAGTTGTGTTTCATGTATTTCATTTACTAGTGTTAACTTCGTAGTTGTACTGTTTATGTTTTTCCGAAAAACTTTATGTATTTCTGGAACTTTTATGTGTCTTAATAAAATATTCGCGTTTGTGTAAATTACTTCTATCTTTTTAGAATATTACTTAATAATGTGACAAACTTATAAGTCACTAAAATAAATTTAATTTAAATAAAAATAAACGTGAACATTAAATAAGCACACATAATTAAAATAATAACACATTGAATAAATTAAAATAACAAAACATGGAATTTAAAAGTGAAACATATGTGAAATTCAACTTACAACACAATACAAAATAAAAACAACAAAACATAATAACTAGAAATCAAAGTGGGGACGGTACACTTCTTCTGCGGGAGTGTCGGGAACATCACTTGAGGAATTTTGAGAATACCCCATTATTTCATCTTGTTTTTGCTTAATCCACCTTTGCTTCCTCGGTGAAAACTTTGAAAGGTCCGCAGCTAGTAAGTCATACTGGTTTCTCGTAATCTCCGACTCTACGGCTTTGTGTTGAAGCTCATCACGCTTAGCTCTTCTTGAAGCTTGTTCTCTGCCTTGCTCAATCATTTCTTGTAAACATTGCGTCATCATTGGATCTAACTTAGACACCTTTGCTTTTCCACTTCTTTTGGCCTTTTGCTTGTCCCGGCCTTCGGGACGTTGAAGTGGCTCTCCATCCGAGGGAGAGCTAGCACTACCTCCGAGTGTGGGCGAATCGTGCGATTGTGGAGACGATATTGGCCGGGAGAAGGATACCGGAGCTTCGTATTGTTGGTACCACTTCGGACACACTTGGAGGACACGCCACGCATGCTCAAATTTGGATGTCTTGCCATTGTTATCATTCATGAAAATGTCTTTGGCTTGAAAGTTCTACAATATAATAATAATAAAGGAGTAAAGTACATAGTAATATAATTAAATGTTTTAATTACATAGTTATATGTATATTGTGAATATAACTAATATAACTAATATACACTAATATAACGAATATATATACTAATATAACCAATATAACTTATATATATATACTAATATAACTAATATTATACGAATATATATACTAATATTATATATGTACTAAAATAACTAATATATATTACTAATATATATATATATGTTGGAAAAATGTGTGAAAAATTGCATTAAATGGCTATTTTGGGGCAATTTTTTGAGTGGGGTCCACTTCCGATTTGGATCGGGTGAAATTGGTTTCGGATTGTCCTTGTTAAGGGCTACAATTCGATACGTGGTACACTCAAAACGGATAACGGGTGAATGAGATATCGATTTTCGAAGTTTACCCGTTGAAATGGAGCAGCAGCCGGCTGCTCCAGCAGCCCACTGCCGGCAGGACAGTCCGCAGCAGCCTGCTGCCGGCAGGACAGTCCGCAGCAGCCTGCTGCTGAGACGTCTTCCGCAGCCTGCTGCCGGCAGGACAGTCCGCAGCAGCCTGCTGCTGAGACGTCTTCCGCAGCCTGCTGCTGAGACGTCTTCTGAAACACACCCAACAATATATATATATAGAGAGCTCTTCTCATCAGGCCGGCCTGACGGGCTGCCCCGTCCGGCCGAGCCCGTTTGGGCACCTTCCCGGTGGAATTTTTTGATGAAATTTTTTGAGCATGTTCCTCATCAAGTCTAGTTTGTCCATACCAAATTTCAGCTCAAAATTCGATCGGGAAGGTCGTCAAATGATTTTTGCAAGTTAACTGGTCCGGAAAATACATATTCCGGACCAGTTAACTTGCAAAAATCATTTGACAAGCTTCCCGATCGAAATTTGAGCTGAAATTTGGTATGGACAAACTAGACTTGATGAGGAACATGCTCAAAAAATTTCATCAAAAAATTCCACCGGGAAGGTGCCCAAACGGGCTCGGCCGGACGGGGCAGCCCGTCAGGCCGGCCTGATGAGATGATTTCTCTATATATATATATATACTAATATAACTAATATATATATATACTAACATAACTAATATATATATATATATATATATATATATATATAATACTAACATAACTAATATATATAATATACTAATAAAACTAATATATTATACGAATATATATAAATGCTTTAATTACATAGTTATATATACACTAAATATTATACGAATATATACTAATATACTCTAAAATATTAATATAGTTATATATATTTCAAAAATATATTAGTATATACTTTATGAATTAAAATCAAATAATAGAGTAGTTTAAAAATTACCAAATCGTCTAGGTTTGACCCACTCCTCGGAGTTGCGTTCGCTTTCCGCACACAACCTTTCCATTGAGAACATTGATTATTGATGATCTTGAAACGAGACTCAATTGCATCTCGAGTTCGAGGAATTTGACTTTGTGCCGAAAATATCTCGTGAATTCGGCCCCAGAAAGTCTCCCCCGGTTGATTTATTCCAATGGCACCATCTTCAGATATGGTGACCCAAGCATTACATAGAACAACATCCTCTTTAGCATTCCAATTAACACCCCTTTTTGAGGAAGACATAACAAAATTGTAGTGAAAAAATATGATGAAGAATGAGAGATATGGAAGATGTGTGATTAAAATAAGAAGGAATGAGGTGTTTATATAGGATTTTCGAGCAAAATATCAATTAAAAATAATAGAAAAATAAAATAAATTATTTCAACCGTTGGATTTAAATTTCAGCCGTTGGATCATTTTTTTCCCGTTCAAACAGTGTCAAGTTCATCACAACCGTTGGATCTACCAAATATTTTTTTATACAAACAATTGAGCCGTTGGTAGTGCATGGTGCCTCATGCTGACATCAACATGATGTCAGCGAGGCAAATAATTCCCCCTGGCAAGCCTTCTGCTCCCGTCTGCGCACAACAGGTATGCCCCCACTCCCCTTTTTCTTTTCTTTTCCATTTAATTTTTGACTGTCTAAAATTCCTCCAAACTTAACCCCTTCCCTCCCCAAACCCATTTTTAATACCCTCCACACTCAACCAATGTAAGAAATTAGGAGTCTAAAAATGCCATTTTAACATTTTAGACTCCTAATACCTCACCACTCCATTTGGTCTTAGGGTTGTAAAACTGAAAAAGGTTCAAGGCTCTAGTTTAGATTCAACAGTTGTTGCGCCTTGACTTATTTTTGTCCATTTCTTTATCTGTTTACTTAACATTTAATTTAACTTTAGACTTGCGTAGTTGGTTGATGTTATCTTTAGCGGTTGTAATGTAGTTTATTAGTCTGGAAGAAGTAAAATTCTTAGGCTAATCATTTATAGCAATTAAAAAATATATAACAAAGGATTGATCATTTAGTAACGTAGTACATTAGCACTTCCACAGACCACACTCCCGAATTATGTTTTCTGGCTTTGACACGATGTTTTAGGTGAGATGGGAAATGCATTGGTTGTTTCATTTTGCCCTTTATCTGTTTTTACTCAGCAAGTTGGGATCTCTAAATGAATAAAAGTAAAGTCTCATAATCTCAAATCATCCCACTGTCTCATAATGGGCTAGAGCTAGAAAAGTGTGTGAGGGGGTCGGAGTTTAATTATACACAGTATTAAAATGATGGATAACTATTATACAATACTTGAGTTAAATGTTTCATATGTAGTTGAGATAAATGATAGTATATTGAGCCTTTTTCAGTTAATGTATTGATATATATGTAATGTATCATAATGTTCACACAACTAATGATTGAATAAAGTGTTTTATTTTTAAATTTAAGAATATAATGAGCGTCACACATCAAATTTTGCTTATTTCAAGTTAAAATGGTGCTGATTTTTCTAGAAGTCATAGCTTTTTACTTGTAATGACTTACGGGATCCATAATATATAAAATCGAAGATATTTCAGAGCTCTACATTATTGAACTTTTAGCGGGGTCGGCTGACCACCCTGACCCCCTGGCTCCGCCCCTGGTCTCATACTAGTTTTAAGTCGCTATCTTTTGTATTACTTAAAACTTATAAGAAATTAGGTGAAATTCATAAGAATAATCTCTATTTTTAGGGATTTTACAATAATAATCTCTACTTAGATTGTCCACAAAAATGATCCGAACTAGCAAAGGTGTTCATGAGAATAAATTTGGGTGAATTCAAATTAATGTCCGTTTAATACTCAATCCTTGTTCCCAATTTTCTCTTCTCGACTCTTATTTTCAGTTACAATTCAAATTAAAATTTATTTAATATCAACATCATTTTCGTCATATGCGATTCTCTCTAAGTTAAAACATAAAAGTGTGAATTGAAACGGAGCAGGGGTGGACTCGGGCCGGGTGGCCCGACCCGGAATCGGCCTGGTGGCCCGGTCAGTGACCGGTCCGGGTAGGCCTGACCTGTTGGGGTTCTGGTTCGGTCTCGGGCCCCCTAAATCACGAACCGGCCCGGCAGGTCCGGGCCCAGTTCTGGTTCGTTTTAATTTTTTTTTTTCGTTTTTTTTGTTTTCGGGTTGGGCTGGGTATTTTGGGCCATTTCGGGTGGTTTGGGGGTTGAGGAGGGGGGTTGGGGGTTAACTAGGAAAAGGGGAAAAAAAAACTAAGGCTCGAGGCCCGGGCCGGCCTGAATCGAACCCAAGGAGTACTCGGGCCAGTTCCGGGCCCCCCATTCCTGAACCGCCGGTCTGACCGGGTCTGAACCGGCCCGAGTCCACGCCTGAAACGGAGAATGGTGAATGCATGGGAAAGTGGAGGTAGGGCTTGTGAGTATTAAATGGACATTAATTTGAATTCTATCCAATTTATTTTTATGGATACTATTGGTAGTACGGATAATTTTTATAAACAATTTGAGTAGGGATTATTATTATTTTTTGGACGAAATAAGCTTATTTTATTCCTTCCAATTATCAATCAGTACAATCTACTCACTTAACAAAATCAAAAGGGCAAGCCCAGTAACCCCAAAACATCAGGGGAAAACAATCCAAAACACCAAAAGCTATTACTAGACTAAATCATAGGATAATGAGAAAAACCATTAAAGAAACTAGCAATCCCTACATCCTTAGCACATCTACCAATAACCTTTTGTACTACCTGTTGAAGGATAACATGTAACTCCAACCATAAAAGTAGAGATCATTGCATCCTTGCATAATATAGGGAGAAATTGAGCCCAACTACTAATATTAAATCTTCTACCCAACCATAAAAGCAGAGATCATTTTTGTGAATTTTGCCGAAAAATGATACTTGCAGTTTGACACAACAATGTTAAGAACTTCGTAAAAGATATTTTTTAGAAAGTAGCTTTTGGAATTAATTATTTAATTCTGAGTTGGGATCTCTAAATGACTAAAAGTAACGTCTCATATAATCTCAAATCATCCCATTTTCTCATACTAGGCACAAGTCGTTATCTTCTAGCTTTTGTATTATTTAAAACTTCTAAAAAATTATAGTTATAGTTTGACACAACAATCTTAAGAACTTTTAAAATAGAAGATATTTTTTTAGAAAGTAGCTTTAGACATTTAATATTAATAACAAATTTACAACAGGTTGTTATGACACCAAATTGAATTGAATTTACATCATTCTAAGATAAAATATCCTTATTAGCAAAAAGACACTTAAATTAAAAATAATTAACATCCATCTAAACTGGTAAGTGATAATACCGAAGCGTGGAATAGCTTTATTCTAAGCGATGGGGCTGTTTGTTAACCAGTGTTTCAAGCCCAACATGCTGATATTATTAGCGTTTAGGGTGTGAAAAACATATTCTTTTCGTCCCAAATTGATTTGTGAAATCAACATTTTTTGATCAATCAATGTTAAATTTAAATCCCACATATTGATAAATAAATCAATTTTTAATAATTAAAATTTACATATTCAAAAATGACATTAAAATCTCTTTAAAGTTGCAAACTCTAAATTATAATTTAATTAAAAAAGTGACATCTTGATTAAGTGATATAATGAAACTGTTTGACCAAGAAAAAGTCAATTTTGAAAATAAATTTGGGATGGAGGTAGTACTACATCCGTTCCGCTAAGATTGTCTCATTTTACCATTTTGATCCGTCTCACTAAGATTGTCTCATACCTTATTTGGTAAATTTTGTATGGCTCTAAATCATTCTTACTTTATTCTTACTTTATCAATTCAATATCAACCACATAAACCACTTTGTATAGATTTGCGTGTCACTCTCTCTTGTCCCATTGTTAGTGAGACGGAGGGAGTAACATTTCTGCTCAGCACACTGATGTCCAATATATCTATGCACAATGTCTCAAAACGAGATTTATAGAAATAATCATACGTGTGATCTCATGATATTGCAGAGCCAAATAAGGAAATGTCTTCTATCAAAGAAATCAAGTTCAAATGAGAGGAACCACCTTTCTGAACCGCCGGTTTGGTGATAACTCTGAAGCATGGAATAACTTTATTCTAGAATAATCTATCAAATATCACAAATGTTGTTGGTACACATATTTTGTTCACATGTAGTGTACGCACGTACTCTAGTAATTGTCTGACTACATAGGCAATTCGTTCAGAAGTTGCATTCTAAACAGACAACTAGAAAGCGTGTATACAATATGTGTATAAAATTTGTGTAAGCCAAGAATGATTCATTAAATAATCAAAACGAGATTTATAGAAATAATCATACGTGTGATCTCATGATTTTGTAGAGTTAAATAAGGAAATGTCTTCTATCAAAGTCATCAAGTTGAGATGGGAGGAACCACCTTTCTGAACCGCCGTTTTGGCCTTTCTCCCTAGCTCTTTGACTTTCCTCCGACACTCTTCTCCTTCTCCTTCCATGAGTTGACCAACTCCTTCTTTCACCTCCTCCCTCTTCACCACCACTCTGCTCATCGCCGTCGTCTCCTTTCCTTCCCACAGAGCCGACACCTTCACCCCGAGGCTGACCCCGACCCCCAATACATCCACCACCAGCTTCTCATTCACAAACTGCTCCGCGAATATCGGCCATGTTAGCATGGGCACTCCGGCTGAGATGGCTTCCAACGTGGAGTTCCACCCGCAGTGTGTCAAAAACCCTCCGGTGGAAGGGTGGGAGAGAATGTGCAGCTGCGGGGCCCACCCGCGGACCAGCACCCCTCTCCCCCTGGTCCTCTCTTCGAACCCATCGGCCAACACCCACTCTTCAAATGCGTCCAACTGCTCGTCTGCCCTCCCCAACGCCCAAATGAAGGGCCTCCCTGATAGCTCTAACCCCAGAGCCAACTCAGTCATCTGCTCTGTCGTGAGCCTCGCCAAGCTTCCCAGGGATATGTATATTGTCGATCCTGGCGCTTGCGAGTCGAGCCACTTCAAGCACTGCTCCTTCTCTTCCCCACTCTCATTCTTCTTCATCACTGCTTTACCTTCTTCTAGTGCTGGCTGATCCTGGTGTTTAGGATTTACAAAGTCATCATTTCTTTAAGACAAAATAACTTTAATTTAAAGTATCAACCATGTAACTATAAATTAGTAATAAGTATTTGGAATGTACTTTTAATAATACTGTTCTTTGAATATATAGCAAAAATAGAGTGGAGTCACTTTCCAACTAGAAATCTATTCATTTAAGACATCAAAAATTGATGTTAAATCATAAAATAAAAGCTATTTCCAGATGAAGTCATTTATTTGACATTCAATATTAGTTCTTGATGGGTTAAATGATTCAATTTCTAGTGGAAAATAGTTTTGCATCATTTTTATTGAGAAAAAATGACATAAATAATACAATATGCTTTGTAATGGACAACAAAAACCACACTTAAAACTAGACAAAAGGAGATGATCAACTAAATCTAATATTACCCCTATCTTCTCTTTCATTCTCGCCGTTTCGCTTCAATCACTAAGGGAGTGTTTGCAACTGCTTAAAAAAAAGCACTTCTCAGCTTTTGGCTTTAAAAAACACTTATTTACCAAACACTACCAATTTTTACTTTTTCTCGGCTTGCGTGTGAAAAGTGCTTTTCCCTTTTCTATTACACAAAAAGCACTTATTTTACCAAACACTACCAACTTTTACTTTTCAAAATCACTTTTTTCTCAAACACTATCAACTTTTACTACCAATCACTTTTTCATTACTTCTCCAAAAGTGCTTTTTTTTTAAGCAGAAGCAGTTGCAAACACTCCCTAAGTATCCTCCATCTTCAAACTCTTCCATCATTGTTGCTCCGCGAGGCTGTACAGGCTCCTCCTACATGTTGCCTCATTTTCGTTGTCTTCTGCAGCTTTCGAACCACATTGCCGCTGTCGAAACATGATGCCTTCTGAAGCATTGCAAATCACACCTTTAGCACCCACCTTCACTGCAGGTCCGCACCTTCGTCGCTCGCCACCATCGCTGGTTGGCAGCTTACCTTCATTTCCATCTCGTTGTCTTACGTCAGGATGGCAGACTAAATAAAGCTCCAGAAGCAGTCGGTGTACAATTGTGACCCTGGAAGATCGGTGATGGCAGTCGATGGAAGACCGTCCCCAAATATATTTAACTTTAAGTGATTAATTTATTGAACCTTATGGAAGGGTTAATGAATTTAAGAATTTGTGAATTTTTATTAATTCTTTCGCATGAATAGTAAATTTGCACGTGGGGCCCCACAGCGGGAGCGAGGACCTCCCAATATTCCCGAGACCATATATTTTATTCATCTTGATCTAGATAACATTTATATGGTGGTGGATATTTCATTTGGGCCATGGAAAGGCCCAGAGTTGACCGATTGGTCAATTGAGGCCCAATTACCAGTATTGGTAATTTAACAGATAACAACCCGAAATGAATTTCAGAGACTTATAAATTAAAGTTGGGGAATGTATAATCATTCTAAATGTCATTATGACTAAGAGCACATAATATATTTTATTTGACCCGATAAAATAAAATATGTTTAAACTAGTCCGAAAAATACAACTTTCGGGAGCAATTGTACACATCGGGACACAAGGGGATGACCTCCCACATTAGTGGGGGCCACCCCACATTTTTGTGTGCTAGAGTATACAAATGTGAGGCTGTTTGACTTGGAAGGAGAGAGGTGAGGTGATGAGCATCAAAGGTACACCCATGACCCCATTTTCCTCACTCATTGGTCCAAACAAGACAAAAGCCACCCATCCGCTCTCACCACCTCCATTCATTCGACCACCACCCTTCAAGCAAGAGAAAACCTCCCAGAAATCTACATTCTCCATAGCCAAACTCGTGCTCCAACTCAAACAAGAAAGAGGGAGAAAAAGGGAGAAAAAACGTGTTGATTAAGGTAATGACCTTTATTAAGTTTTTCCTCTATTCATTAACTACCATATGACTTACATAGCATATGAGTAACCCTTATAGTAGCTCTACATTTTTATAAATGTAGAAGGAAGGGTTGAGAGGGAGTTCCAAGTCCAAGAACGGACATAAGAGCCAAAATAACCGGTTCGCCGGAAAATAATCCTTTAGAGGTTTGTATTAATATGAGTTTTATGATTATAAAACCTTGTTAAGAACTTATATAAGGTATTTCAAGAGCTTTCATGGAGTTGAAAGAGTCGCCGGAGTTGTCACCGGAGTTTGTCAAAAGTCGCCGGAGTTTCGCCGGAGTTCAACCAAGAGGGGTAGAACTTCATAACGCTAATTCGAGGTGAGAATGACCGACTATATTGCGTATAATTATTGGGTTAATTTCACAAGATTTCCTAAATGAATAAAAATGTGATTTGCATGGATTATTAATGATTAATAATGCCTAAATGAAATTACTATTGATTATAAGTATAGTATGCATAATATACAAATTTATGAATAAATTGGGTATGTTTATGTGATATGAATATGATGGTATGATGGTATGATGGTTGTATTAACCATGAAGTTTATTGTGATAAATATACTTTTATTTCATGAGAAGAAGTCATGAAAGTATAAAAGTGATATTTTGATATTAAGGCCAAAATACACATGAATGAGAAATTATATTGAAATGAATAAACGACTAGTATTGAAATATTAGTTGGAAATGTTAGTTAAATAATTGATGAACTTAATCTTAAAGAATTGGATTGTAAGGAATATGTCTTAAGTAGCCTTAAGAGATAATTTAAGGCGGACTTTACGAATAGAGTACATGCCAAGGAATGGCTTAGATATGCAAATAGCGGTGATTATGAGCAGAGCTCTAGACTGATGTAAATAGCGGTGATTATGAGCTGGGCTCTAGACCGATGTAAATAGCGGTGATTATGAGCTGGGCTCTAGATCGACGTAAATAGCGGTGATTATGAGCTGAGCTCTAGACCGACGTAAATATCAGTGATTATGAGCAGGGCTCTAAACCGATGTAAATAGCGGTGATTATGAGCAGGGCTCTAGACCGACGTAGGAGTGACTAGAAGTAGGGCTCTAACACAGTGAATTGATATTAAATGAACGGGGTTAACTATAATGTAATAATACCCTAGATTGAGTGTCTTCGAAATTGAAACATTGATTATACTTAGTATAGTTGTCATTGTACTTTTCAAATGTTTCAAAGTACTGACCTCCCTTTCACGGGGGAGGCCACCTCACAGTTTCAGGTAGAACTTGAAGGTTGCTACCACCGTCGTTGCTTCGGAAGAGTTTAAGGAGAGGAGATGTGGTTCGTGCTTCCTCCGTCCCTGTTTTAAAAACAATTACATTTAATGCTCATGGATATTATTGTTTTTTCTGAATAACTATTTGAGGGCTTGCATGCCTAATTTGCCAAGTGTGGCTTAAACACTTGTAATATCGTTTCCGCTGCTTTAATGAATGATTTTACATTATGTTGGTTTATAGATGTACTACGTGTGAATGATATTCTAGACGTCTCGTATAGTATGAATGTGTTGAACGGAGGTTGACTATTCGTACTGTACAGCGGGTTGTTGACGTGTCCAATAGGTCCGGAGCGTGACAACTGTGTTTTTTAGATTTGGTTTCTATTGAAGATGTACATAACCCATTGATGATTATTGAACCTGAGCAAACCTCCAATGAATTTGCACAACTCAAGAATTTCTTTCATGACACTGTGAGAAATGGGTGGACTCAGTTTCACATTACTTGCTTTGTGAATTTGAGATACTTCTTACTTCTACTTTGGATAATTTGACTTTGAGACCCTGTAATGATGAAAAATATTTTGAAATAGAGAATGCTTCAGATAAAAAAGAAAACTCATGTGGCGGTATTAGAAAACAAAAAAAGGGTTCCATTTCCAACGATGGAGGATCTTTGGGACTCAAATAGAAATGAGATTATTTCTCAAAAGCTCTATTGGTCATGCCAGATAATTGTCTGCATACTCAGAATTTAAACACCCACAAAAGAATGTACAAGAAGAGGAATCAACGATCACATCTTTTGAGACCTAGATCTCAAATTCGAGCGAAACTATGCAGATTTGTCTGAGGGTTGAGGTTTAGTTTCAGAGGTTTTTTGCTATACATTGGGAGGTATTTATGTTTAGCTTTTTTTTTATTTGCTCTCGTTTGTGTTCTCTCTCGTATTTTGTACTTTTTAGTTTGTTCTTTTTATTAATAAAGTTCTCTTTTATAAAAAAAAGAGAGGTGAGATTACATTAATTAGTAGAGTTGTAATAGTGTCATAGGATGTTTTCTTTTGGACTGTTTTCAGTCCCAAACCAGGCAAGATCAGATCAGACTAGACCAGACCAGACTTCCGTAGTTATAATACACAGAGACCAGACATTTACCAGATCAGACGAGATCGGTTCAGACCAGACCAGACCAACAAATTCCAGTCCAAAAGAAAACATCCTTAAACTCTTTCCGGTCTCATTTTTGGATACTAAGAAAAAAAAATCTCCTTTTTATCTATAAGTCATTTTTTAGTAACACAATTCCCCAAAATCACCTCAGGGTAGATTCTCTGGTACCCATAAGGTACCATACTTTTGTCTACATGGACCAATGAGAATCTAGCAGTTGAATAATTTAAATCTAAATTAAAAATGATAAAGTGGTGTGGTCGAATCAAATGAATGGTAGGTACGGTACCCCATTTTTTAGAAGAGTACGGGAGTTGTCACCAATTAAAAAACGCCTCCTTGATGCCTACGTCTCCTTGGGTGATTTTCACTGCTAGTTATTCGTTACATATAAGATGCAACATATAGGCCCTAAAAAGTATTAACTCAATGATATTCTCATTGCGCGCGTGAGACCTACTATCCAGGTCAATCTGGACCTGGTTAACCTCGTAGTGTGCTTGGATGTCCCTTTTCATGCTAGTAAGACTCGTTTATCAATCTCCTATTTCGGCTGACTCCTGGCCTTCTCGATCCCTTTTTGGGTCTAGCCTGAGTAAAGTATTTGTTTCCCAATTTGGACTATTGATCGAGGATGGACTATTGATCGAGGCCTATGTTTCACGGATACGAATACGTCGATACGCGAATACGAGTATAGTGATACGGCAATTTTAAAAATTATACAATACGGGTACGAGAGTATATTTATAGATAATAAATATATAGGGTATAATTTGCAAATATATATAATTGAGGTGTTCATAAGTAAATAATAATAGCACAAAAGATTAACTATTATGATAAAATTGCAAAGATTAGACTAAAAAAACTAAAGTGCTAATGTTTTAATTTAAATTCAAATAATATTGTTTGTTTTCTATTTGCATTTACATCCAAGTCTTGTTTCAATTACAGCTCATCAAGTGATAAAATGACAAATTATAGTATTCTATTATTTCGCATACTCCCGAAATCATCTTTATCAATGTTTCACATCTTGTAGTCGCTTGGCGGCAACGTAACTAAATTTTCGTCATGTCGTGTATGGAATGAGGGTTATAGGGTCAGATACGCCTATCAGTTCACGGATACAGGTATCGGAAGTGTCGGTATTTTAAAAAATAAGCCTGATACTTCTATTTAATTACGGATACGGACCAATACGTACATGACGCGTATCGGTGAGTATCGCCGTATCAGTATCAGATACATATCCAATACGGGATATAGTATGAGGGTGAAGTATCCATGCACCATAGATTGAGCCTATAGTATCATCAATTAAAAAGTCTATATAAGCAAAGAAAAACTGGGATAGTGTAGAAAAAACACAAATTAAATACGTTGACCTAAAAGTATTAATGAAAACAAACCAAATAAATAAAGAAACATTTCGTACAAAATGCAGCAGTTGCAACTTAGTGGAGAAGCTAAGATGAAATGGAGCTGAGGTAGCCGGTGGGAAGCAGGTAGGAAGTACGTACCTGGACGGATTGGTGGGTGCTCAAGGAAACAGGGCCGACGCACCACACTCTCCCATGGTGGAACTTCCTCTTATACTCCTCCACAAATTCCGGCTCCATCTCCGAGAAGCTGTTCACGATCGCGCCGTGAGCCGAGCTCATTGCCCCGACCAGCTTCTCCGCCAGCTCTTTCTGGGCCTCGCTTTTGATTACACTCCGGTCCACCACGCACCCCTTCACCTGAGCTTTGCAAAGCTGAATCTTGTCATCGTACGGCGGCGGAAGCCCGGCCACGGTGAACATCTCCGTCTCCGACTCCACCGTCCCTAGAATCTCCGACTCCATGATCTTAGTCGAGCAGACGAAGGAGAAGCAGCACGACCCGTTGAACACGATTCTTGGGATGTTCATCCCCTCCGCTAGGTCCGCCGTCCACACCATCAGCATGTCGGAGACTATGCAGGTCACCGGCGGATCGCTTCCTCGAATGGCTTCTTCCGCCGGTGACTTGAGCATGTAGAGGGCGACCAAGAAGGCGGACTCGAGGTTTTGACCCTTGGGTACCAAGTCCGCATTCTCGCACCCCTCCGGCAGCCCGGCCTCCGCGCACGGAAACCGGACCACGTGGTTCCGGATTTTGTACCCGGAACGCCGGTCCTGGTCGAGCGTTGACTGGAACCTCTTTGCGTTGACGGGGGTGGTGAAGATGGTAACGGTGACGCCGCTGTCAGACCGGGCTAGAATCCTCGCCACGTCTATCATGGGGATCATGTGGCCAGGGGCCATCATCGGGAACACCATGAAATGGAGTTGCCGGCGGCCAGACTCCGTCGCCGTTGCCCCCATATAGAGTATTTGTTTTGCTTTAATTTATTACTGGGGTTTAGGCAGTAGCTCCGACACATCAATGTTGCACTCACTATCAGCTTATATAACCTCAACCTCGTGCGTCGTCTAGCTAACGCGCATTAGCATTAGTCCTTTAAGTGTTTAGGTGTCCGACCATGTTTTTTTGACCTTTTTATTAGATTTATAAGTCCTTGGGCATCCTCATAATATTTAGAGATTATTTTGATAATGTGGATGATCTTTTTTGAGATTATGGTTGAGATGTTGGGTTTATTTGAACAGATTATTTGCTAAAAAATCTGTTATCAAATTCTAGCTAAAGCTGAATTATTTCCAACTTTTAGGCTCATCTTCCCATTTTCTAGGCATATATGAGATATTACCCGAAATAGGACTAAAAAGGTTTGAAAATTTCAAAATAAGACTGTCATGTTTTTATTCCCAAAATAGGACTAATTACTGTCATGTTTTGGCAGTACCAGACTTCAAACATGACAGTATTTTCCAAACTTGACAATAATTACTCATATTTTGAGAATAAAAAACATGTCAGTCCTATTTTGGAATTATCAAACTGTTTTAGTCCTATTCCGGGAACTTTCCCGGCATATATTCATAATTAAGATGATAACTAGCTTTGTAGCTCGTCCATGCGTACGCTCCGTTCCAAAAGATGAAGAGTTTAAACTGCATGCAATACTTGTAAAATTAATAGCACCATCTCTTGTTGCTATTAAATAAAGGTAGTTTCTAATAAAGGTAGTCACCTTAAATAAAAACTTGCACAATCCGTTGCACTATTAGATTAAAAAATTAATAGCACCATCGGTTGCTATTAAATTTAAAAATTAATACGTACTCCCTCCGTCCCAATTTGATGATTTTCTTTCTTTTGGGCATAAGATCAAGAAAGTGTGGTAGAAAAACTAAAGAATCTTACTTTATTGTACTATCCATCCTTTTACTTTACTGTTCATTAAAAAGGAGGGATATACGTGGTAATCCACTTTTAGTTCTTTACCAAAAAGGGAAACAAGACCAACCTTTTTGGACATCCCAAAAAGGAAATACATGACCATCATTTTGGGACGGAGTGAGTAGCACTGTACAGATTAATAATATACTCAAAAAAAACTTTGTTCAAGTATTTTCTCAAAAAAAAAAACTTTGTTCAAGTATTTTTTCAAAAAAAAAAAACTTTGTTTAAGTATATCCGTATTAGTAAAAAAACCTCAAGAATGTTTTTCTATTGTACTACCTCCGTAACGTAAATATCTTCCCACTTTCCTTTTTTGGACGTAACACTAATATCTTCCCATTTCTAAATCTTCCCATCATACCCTCAATAATTTTAAAAATAATACACTATTACACCTACTTTTTTTGGATTTATCCTTCATTCCATCACATTATTTCACTATCTTCCCATCATACCCCTAATAATACATATCTCCTTTCACTATTCTTAATCTACCAACTTTTCAAATGGGAACATCCCAATGTTACGGAGGTAGTAAATGCTTATAGCAGTAAAGGCAATACTTTCCAAGACATCAATCCATATCGGTATATAGAATAGTACATTTTTTATGTCTATAGTGTACCTAATAATATGGAGTGCATATGAGTGTGTGAGTGCATTTATGTTAGAGATCTTGAAATTGAGTGTATGTCTAATAAAAAATCTAGGTAAATTAAGATCATGGATGAGGAGAAATTAATTAGTTTGGAGATTATTTGAGATTTTCTTATGTGGAAGTGACATGGCAACAACAAGCCAACCGTAATTTTTTATTTCGCATGCTGAACTGTGTAATACTCCGTAATAAGAAAAAGCAAGGTTGTACGGAGTAGTTACTTTTATGCCTGTATTGGCTGAAGTTACTGTAAAAGACTGTTTTAACTGTTTTTTCATACAATTTTTTCTTTATTTTATTAATAAAATATATTTTAAATATATTTTTTCATAAATCAACAGAATCAGCCAATCCAGCCTTTTCATCCAAAACATTGTAAATTTGAGCAGAATCAACCAATACAGCCGGTAGGGTATTATCAAACTCTAAAAATGGGCTGAAATTCAAATATAGAAACTTTTATGTTTTTTCACAAATAGAACCGACCTACTCCCTATTAGGAAACATGCTGGGAGTGGTTATATCGTACACCCGGGTGTACAAGTACATCCAGGTATTTTTGAAATTCTCTCTAATTTCAATGGCAATTCAGTTCTTCTGTCCATGTTCTTCGCTGCGTAACTGGACTACGTGCATATGCTGTCTTTAGCGGCCAACTTCGGCGTTAGTGGACTGCGTAAGTGGATTTACCTTGACTTTTCTTAATTCTTTTGCTTTTTAGGTGGATCCGTTTTTATTTCCGTTTTCTTTTTTTCTTAACCACCTTGTTCATTGATTCCTAATTTTCAATTTCTAATGAATATTCAAAATATTAGTGTTTTATTTTTCTGTTTCTAATTTAAGATGAATATGTATTACTACGTAGTTTATTAAATATCATTTGTTAACTACTTTGTTATACTAAAATGAGTATAGTGTAAAATAAATAGGAAAAATTGATAGTAATAATCCCAACTATTGGCGATCCGCTCATAATAATCCCAACTATTGATTATTACAGAATAATCCCAACTTTAGGGAACTTCCGCCAATAATGGTCCCTATGAATAAATTATTGTAGTTTCTAAAGTAGATGAGATGAGATATAACAAGTAATCCCTATAAATAATCTCAACTTTTAATTTTTACGCTTAATTTCTATTTAAAATTCACTTTTTATAGAGGTAATATATGGTCATGGACCATTATTGGCTGATAGTCTCTATAGTTGGGATTATACAAAAATAATCAATAGTTGGGATTATTTTCAGCGGACCGGCAATAGTTGGGATTATTATTTTCAATTTTTCCAAATAAATATACATGGATAAACATTATAAAAAGCACCAGGTTATATTTGTAATTCCAGAACGAACGACTATAAATAATTTTTAATATAAAATTATTATATTTTTCATTATTATATTTGTCATTATGATACATGTGCACAAATGAACATTTAAACACATTAGAGAGTTGAAACAAACTTTTGAATTTTTTGATGTCCATTGTTTGAAACAAAAAATACTCCGTATTACATTTAATTTACAAATTTTTAACACGTATTTACATTTATTAAATTAAACAACATCAAACTACCTCTATTGAGATGAAAATCACGATTTCTGTTAAATGAGTATTACGGAACTTTTAATGTGCATCGGACCTATTATGAGCATTTAAACACTTTAATGAGCATCCGAATTATTCTGTTGAGTATTAGGAAGAATTATTCGGTTGAGTATTAGGAACCTAACAATGAGTATTGTAATCTCTGCTTCATATCTTTTAATTCACTTTTTCTTTTATAAAAACTTATTAAATAATTTCTATAATCAAGTTCTATGAACTTCGATCAATAAACGAATCTAATGTCATATGCAACTTTTAAAATTTCCATGGATATGACATTTTAAAAATGAGCATAACATTAGTATCAATTGAGAATACGTAAAGTACAAAATGAGTATTGATATGAAATTCATAAGTTTTTTAGTTGAACTTGAAGACATTTTTATTGAGCATCAAACCTCCTTTATTGAGTATTAAAAACATGTAATTGAGTATCATAGTCTGTACTGTTATATCTATACTCATCTCCTACATGAATCTAATTTAATTAATATGAAACTTTTGAAATATATATTGATATAACATTTCAAAATGAGCATAACACCGGTACAAAATGAGTATTCATTACTTATCAAATGAGCAATGATATGAAAATCATAAGATTTGTTAGTCGAGCATCAAGACATTTTCATTGAACATCAAATTTCCTCTATTCGATGACATTTTTGTAATTTAAGTGAAAAATCACGGCTTCCGCTAAATGAGCAATGGTGTACTTTTAGTGAGCATCTGACATATTTTATTGAGTATTAGGAGGCTAAGAATGAGTATAAAGATCTCTGCTTCATATCTTCTAATTGTTTTTCTTTTTCTTATTTTCTCTTTTATAAAAACTTATTGAATTATATCTATAAGCCAATCCTATTAATTTCAATATGTGAATCTAGTGTAATATAATCCTTTTTTTTTGAAATATGCATTGATATGACAGTTTAAAAATGAGTGTAACATCAGTACCAAATTAGCATACATAACTTACGAAATGCACATTGATATGAAAATCGTAAGGTTTGTTAGTTGAACATCATGATTCACGACATATTAATTGCACATCAAACCTCCGTTGTTGAGATGAAATTCATGGTTTCTAGTGAATGAGCATTGATGAACTTTTAATGAGCATCATACCAATTCTGTTGAGTATTAGGAGTCTAATATTGAGAATCCTGATCTCTGCTACATAAGTTCTAATTCATTTTCTTTTTGTTATTTTTTCTTTTATAAAAACTTACTACCTCCGTCCCATTTTATGTGTCTCCTTTGGTTTTGGCACAATTTTTAATTAAGTGGTTGAAAAGGTAAAAGTTGTGGTTGAGATTTGAGTATAGTAAAGTGAAATGTTGTGAACCACATATTTCTTTTCAAAAAGGGAAAAGTGACACTTATTTTGGGACAACCCACAAAGGAAAGTAACACAGGTAAAATGGGACGGAGGGAGTATTAAATTACACTTATAGTCAACTTCCTTGAATTTCAATATATGAATTGATGCAAAATAGTACTTTTAAAAAATGCATTGATATGACATTTAGAAAATGAGCAATAGTCCAATTTTAATGAGTATTGAGCGTCCAATAATGAACACCATGTTATTACAAGAAAGCTGATATCACAACTAAAAAGCGGTGACATTGTCGTAATTTCAGTGAAAATCGCGGTTTTCATTAGATGAGCATTAATACACTTTTAATGAGTATCATATACATTCTTTTGAGTATTAGAAGCCTGACAATGAGCATCACGATCTTTGCTTAATACTCCCTATTTTTTAATTCACATTTTTTCTTTTATAAAAACTTATTAAATTATATCTAGTCAACTTCGATGAACTTCCAATATGTGAATCTAATGTAAATTTGTACTTTTCAAATATGAATTGATATGACATTTTCAAAATGAGCATCACATGAGTACCAATTGAGCATATATAATTTATAAAATGAGCACTGATATGAAAATCATAAGTTGTTTAGTTAAGCATCAACACATTTTCATTGTGTATCAAACCTCATATATTGAGTATTAGAAACATGCAATATAGTATCATGGTCAGTGCTCTCTTATTTATAATCAACCCATATGTTAATCTAATGTAATATGGTGCTTTTGAAATATGTATTTATATAACATTTTAAAATGAGTATAACACCAACATCAAATGAGCATACATAAATTAACAAATGAGCAATGATACGAAAATCATAAGTTTTCTTAGTTGAATATAAAAACATTTTCATTGAGCATCAAATCTCCTAAATTGAGTATTTGAATCATGCAATTGAGTATATATTATCAATCAAATCGAAAGAGGTAGAATTGTTTTTAATCAAATTTTCATCTCAATTAATTCATTATAAATTCTCAAATTAAAGGTGCTAACGCAATTAAAAGGAATGAAACCGAAAAAAATAAGTGGACGTCTAAAAAAGAGGTTAACACTGGAAAAGTTATATTCATTGCAATTGCCGACATCTGCAACTCCCTAGCAGGATCCACCTTTCAGTCGGTTACTCCATCTTCTTCCACGATATAAATTAATCAATTGTTTGATTCATTCTATTTTCGCCGCAATACCGTCTTAATTCCATGAAAATTATCCGAATTGGGTTGTTGACAGTTGATTTCTTGAGAGGAAGCATCAGAACGGTTCGAAGATGAAGTGCCGGGATTGGGGTTGGGAAAAACAGATGCAAAACGGAGGATTAAATGCCATCTCAGTTGTGAGTAGTTGCAGAAATACCCGGTTGTAAGGTGAGGATTAGTATGACAATCATAAGTTTTTTAAGTTGAGCGAGCATCAAAATGTTTTCATTGAGCATCAAATCTTCTCTATTGAGTATTAAAAACATGCAATTGAATATCATGGTCTGTTATCTCATATCTGTAATTAAAACTCCTACTTCAATCTAATTTAATATGTTACTCTTGAAATATGGATTGATATAACATTTTAAAATGAATGTAACATTAGTACCAAATGAGCATACATAACTTACAAAAAGAGCATTGACATGGAAATCGCAAACTTTGTTAATTGAACATCAAAACATTTTCATTGAGCATCAAACTTTCTTTTATTGAATTACAAATATAATCATGGTCTTTTTATAATTAATGTTTACTCATGCACATTTATTTTACACTATAATAATTTTTGTATAAAACAAAATTGAGTAATTAAAACACAATATATAATAAACTAATAAAGATATATAATTAAAATAAAAAAATAGAAAAATAAAAAATCAATAAGTAAAACTTTTTATATTACACAAATTAAAAAAAAACTAAGTTAGAAAGTTGATTGGAAAAAGAGAAAATCTGGGACATTAAGTAATATTTTATATTATAGAGTTTCATGATAATTTAATTTGAAATTAAAACAAAAAATTGTTAAAGAAAAAAACAAAAACATGAAAAGGAAGAACCGAAAGAAAACAAAAAGGTTGTTACAGAATAAAACAAAAGAAAACAAAGAACTGAAAAAAGGAGTAAGCAGCAAACGAACTGAATGCTAAGCAAATTAAACCACCGGATGTACGTACCACCGGCGGTACGATATAATTTACCAAATTAAATTAGTACTTCGTATATACTTCGTACTACTACTACTATGTATTCAGTTTTTACCTCGGGAACGTTTTACGCCTCATATCGCTTCTAATTTCCTTTTCTTAATTTTCCCTTTTCTCGCGTTAGTTAATCTTTGAGTTATGCGCATCTCTTTTTTCTTCGTCAATCTTCGTGTCTTTCCTTGCGTATGTTACGTTCCGTTCTCTCATCTCTGCAACTCAACGAAAATCTCTGTAAAGCTTTAGCACTCGCAAGTTAACCACGAATTGAATATTATCAATTCGTCTATGATCGGTGATGGCGGTGGTCGGGGCAGCATTGTCGGCTGAATTGGTCATGATCATTAATTGGGTTGATCACTGGTTGAATTGGCCACAGACGATTTGGTCATGGTCGCATTGGTCATGGCCGGGTTGGTCATGATCGGATTGATCATGGTCGCATTGGTCATGGTCGGATTGATCATGATCGGTTTGGTCATGGTCGCATTGGTCATGGTCGGGTTGGTCATGGTCGCATTGGTCATGATCGGTTTGGTCATGGTCGCATTGGTCATGGTCGGGTTGGTCATGGAAAGGTTTGGTCATGGTAACTGTACAGGTTGGTCGTGATAATTGGACGAGTTGGTCATGGTAACTGAACGGGATGATCATGATCACCAATTGAGTTGGACACTTGTCGGAATGGTCACTATCAGAATTGTCACTGATTGGATTGGTCATTGTTCAATTTAGTCACTGTTATAAAATCCCACAAAAAAAATCTGGACGAATGATGATTAATACGTATAAGGAGTGGTGTATTGAGTATTGACTAACACGGGAGCAGGGGCATACGGAGCATTTTTTTAAATGTTACACACTAATGGTCTCTTTTTTGAAGACTATTATTTTTTACCTAACCCCTATTAATAATACAATTAGTCACTTTACGTAGTAAGATATAGTCATCTTTCTAATATGGACGTTTCATATTCTATTTTAATGATAACAAGTTTATATTAAAATAATACTGTAGTAACATGCATCACAATATCAAGGACAACGTTTGCCTTATAAATCATTTTAATAGAATATTTAACACTCGGCAGAATCCTAAGTAGTAGGTTGTACGCATCAACAAATCACTTTATTAGAATATAGTAATATAGTCATATACTACGTATGATGTTTTGCCTGTTTCACTCCTGCAAGTATTGTATCAGTCCTCCGATCATTTAGTATTCTGAGTACAGTGACACTTTTAGTCCTTTCATCGTGATTTTTAACATAATAAGGGTAGAACTAAAAATGTCACTACTATTGTAATAATAGTTGCTTGAAGGACGAAAAATGTCACTTTTATGAAAGTCGAATGATTAAGTATGAAAATTTTCAAAGAGGATTGCCAAAAATATCTTTCGCACAATAGTCGAAGGACTAAAAGTGGAAAGGTCAAAGTCGAGTACCAAAAATGTCACGGACATAATAGTCGGAGGACTAAAAGTTGAAAAAACTCCCCGGATCTGTTTCTTGAAACTGCTTTTGCCCCTTCAGAGAGCAGAAACATATATTGTAGTGTTTGAGTGAAAATGTAGAAGTACTTATGGATGCTCCAAATTACTCCTAGAAACTGTTTTTATAAGGTGAGGGAAACCAACTTCTGAAAAACCGATTCTGCTTTTAAAAAAGAATAAGAAACATAATCAATTCCAAAAAGAAATAGTACGCTTACGAATTTCTAAAAAAAAAATTAGAATGTGATTACGAAGTATGAGTGTGACTAACTAATACGGTGTACCCTCTAGTCCTTACTTCATACGGAGATTTTTTTTTTTGCCAACTTTAATCATGGAGCTTTACTTCAATATAAGATAAATGATTTTTTTTGCTCGAAGAAGGCTTAATTCATAAAAATGGCATTCAGCAAGAGGATAAAACTAGAAAAGAACCACAAATAACCATCCGCCCGTGGCCGAAACTGAGAGCTAACCACCTGTGCAAAAGCAATATAAGTCGCTAGACCAATTTTGGGCATCAAAGAGCTAATGACGGTTACCGCAGCCTCTTCCTCCCCCAACCTTAATGCGAAAGTCTTACATAGAATAAACGCATAACAAAAAAACATAACAGAGCAATTCGGGTAAAATAAATCAAAATAGAAGAAAATAAAGATGCCAAAGCTAGTTTTCTTTCCCACCGCCCTCCACTGCAGCCACGGCGGGTCTAGGGAACCAGACTCGCCTCCTCTCCGTTTTTTGCCCTATCCATGACCATATCTTCACCAGTGGCACCTTTCCCGGGTTGAACATCCCCGGTCCTCCTGCGTTTAAGCTCCCCAAGCATCTCTTCCTCTTCAATGCTCTCAAACAATGCCGGTTTCATGCCCTTGGACTCCGCCGAGTACTCTCCTCCAGATTCAGATTTCCACTGGTCCCCATACCCTTCTGAACTAGAAGCTCCTGCAGATGTCCATTTGTAAGATCCTGTAGGACTGGTCTTCACCCTTCCTCCAGCTCGAAGCTCCACTCCATATGTCTTCTCAGCGACAAATCCCTCCTCATACTTCAACGGGCATAATTTATCAGAATGGCCAATAATGCCACAAATGAAACAAAAGCTTGGTAGTTTCTCATACTTAAAATCTACCCAGTGTTTAACTCCATCCTGTGTCAAATTGGTACCTTCTTTCAAAGGTTGACGAACATCCAAAGAAACCCTAATTCGCAAATAAGAAGCCTGTCTTCCATCAAATTGGCTCATCTTAAATTTTATAAATGAACCCAAAAAGTTACCAATTCTCCTAGCAGATCTCAAATTCCTATATTTTATAGGAGCATTATGAACCTGTACCCAGAAACTAGCCTCATACAGATTCATTGATTCAGGTATGTCATCAGGCTGAACAGTTTTAGTAATATCAAATCACGCTCAAAGAGCCAGGGACCTTCCTGAATCACACGCTTCATATCCAAGACATGATTAAAAATTAACAGGTACCTTTTGTCGCCGATATAAAAATAAACAGGTACCTTTTGTCGCTTCATTTCCTCTTTGAAAAATGCTAAAGAGGAAATAAAATAAGTAAGAATGAAATATCATATACTCAAAACGATTAAATACAGAGTCTGTTTGATAACATTGAAATTGACTAAATTAATTGAATATACCGAATTTGGTGAAACTGTGCATGTGTGAACTCTGAAGCGGTTG